CTTAATAAATAAATCTTAAAATAAAAGCAATGTTTCGTTTGCAGCAATAATTATACAAATAATACCAGAAGTTGTATTTATTCAGTGTTTGAAGCTAGAAAAAATCTTTAAGGGATTTACTCAAGCAATGTATATCTTCTTGTAACACCATAAAGCAAAAGAAACTTATGAACTTGAAAGCCTTGACATTAGACTGCATCTTTGTTCTCTGTTGTAATTGTGATTCAGAAGGTAAAATCCTGACAAATATAATTTCAAAAGATATTGATCCTGAGTCAAAGAGCTTCCGTAGCTTTGGTCATTGCCGTCCTCTGTGAGTAAGCATGAAATTCATTGACATTAACAGTCAAGTGTCATTGACCAAGTCATGATCAGATGTAGAAATCAGAGAAGCACCTTTAACCAATGAGGTTTTGTACTGTGACCACATCCGTTGCACTTATTTAAATACTTATACCACCAATACATAAGATTTCTGAACATGATTTCTATTTTGAATTCTCTTGTTGATGCTGACAATATTCCATTCCACTGTCTCGTCTGTCTTTGATTACAATGAATAAATTCTGGTTCCATTCTTTCATGTACTAAAAAGACACCAAGTGACTAAAGACAATGCCTTCTTGCTACAAACAAGGGAGAGATTTACAAAAGCAGACGAAACAATTTCGAGGTTTGCCAACCAAAAGATTTATGATGCAGTGTTTTCGAAACTGACTAGCCATTTCACAAAATATTGCCAAGGAAAATCACTTTGGGGAAGATTAATAAATCTTTTAGTCATATCTCTTTTGGATTTGAAACATTAGAGAGTGGATAAATAGATTTTAAAAATTAGTGAAGAGACCATAAAATTATTTTATATTTATATCATATGAATATTTATCGCAAATCGGTTATCTGTAAACTGAGTGAGATCAGATTGCAGAAACAATACTTTGTAATACATAATGTGATATTAACCTGATTTCAAGAATTTTCTTATTTTTTTCCTAAAAGTATATCATGATACTTTAAGACATACAGGATAATAGCTCTCCACAGATTCCTTTTTCTTTAATATCAGTGAATCACAAAGACAGAGATTTCCCATTTGAATTTAGAATTTTTTCTTCTATTAGATGGGTTGCTACCCAAAGTTAGAGTCCAGCCTACCCTGCTATTTATCCCACAGCTAGGATGGGGAAAAGAAGGGCATAAGTGCAAAGGTTATTGCAAAAGATGAGGATGGTGGATTTCACTTTTCATGTTGATAACCACTATGCTAATGGAACATTTAAGATCTTAAAGTGTTTAAAATGTAAAAAAAAGAAAAAAATTCCAATTTTAACAGAACTTCTAAGATGCCAGCATGCAAAATTTCATCTGAATGTTGAAGAAAACTCTTTTTTGATAATAAATTCCACCCAAAACAAGGCTATATGATTACATATTTGAGATTAGTCATTTAATTCTAAATGGTTTTATCATTACATTTATTAGATTAATAATCTTGTCCAATATGGTTTTATCAATACATTTTTACATTTATATTCTTATAATTTGTGTCTTTATCATTATGTATTTTAAAAGTATAATTTTATCTAACATGCTTTTCTCATTAAATGTGTTTTTTTAATTAATCTCATCCAAGGATGTGTTATCATTTCATTTTCCCACTGAGATTCTTCTCCATGGTGATTTTATCATTATAGTTTTCAGATTAAAAAGCTGATTTTATTATTACAATTTACATTCAAGTTCTTATCATTATTTTATATTGTGTTTATTATCATACTTGTTAGACTAATAAAATCTCATCCTAAGTTGCTTTATCTTTATATTATTTAGAATATTTTCATTCTACTTGATTTTGGCATTACTGTTTGGCATTAGTATTACTTAGTTTTAGCATTATATTATTCATATTAATATTCTCAATCTAAGTAGTTTTATCATTAAATTTTTATATAATATTTTCTTTATTTTCTGTTTTAGATTTTATAATTTTAAGTTAATATCAGCCTTTATTGTTTCAGAATTATATTTTTAATATTCTTATAATCGTTATTTTTATCATTACATTTTTATATTTATATTCACATCACTGTTTTTTAATGTTATATTCATAGCTTAACAGATTCCTATTTGTTTTTATCATGTCATTTTTTAAATAATAGATTTATTATTGTTAGTAACCATTAATATCTTTTATATTCTTTCATTATCATTTACACTATTTACATTGTTCAAACTGTTGTCTTCATCTGTGTTGCTATATTCATAATGTTTACATTCTGGCCTTCTTTAGGTGATTAGAATTTTGAACTAAAACCTTTATTTTGTCCTCCAGGGTAGAGTGTTCTAGTTCCATGTGCCATATCTCATTTTCAGTATTAGTAACTCAACTGTGCAAGTTTTTGTTCACCTCTGCTGTAGTTGGATATTGACAACTCTTTGGGTCAAGTCACTGGATTACTTCAAACAACACTTTTATCCATTGATCCTTGAGTCTTTGGGGATATCAGTATATGAATTTTTGGGACTTATAAACTTAATGTCTCAGTAACAATTTTTACCAGAATTCATATTGCAATTTGTTGTTGCTATTGTTTTTCTCTAGCACTCTAGCATTTCTGGTTCCATATTGTATTCATGTTTATGTTTAGAAGATGTTTTGTGGCTGACATATACACTGATTCCTTAAGTTTTTGTATTTTCCAGTGATGTTCTCTGCCTATTATTTCAACCTCAGCCTATATGGTGATCATACTTTTCCCTCCACATATGATCTGCCATGTTTGATTTTTCTATTTCCTCTTGTGTTATGGCTTTATGGTGTTACTGCACTCTTATCTTAAGGGGGCTGGCTCTTTCTCCTTTTTATTTCTTGCCACAGCTGCATGGGATGGCATACACACAGTCCTTAACCATGTTCTCCTCTATAGGAGGTCATTCATTATCAGCTTAATACTCTCATTTTTTGTGTTATCATTATGATTTTAGATTCATATTCTTATCATTGTTGTGTTCAACATTACATTTTTAGCTTAATGTTGCTATTCTTGCATAATTTTTGTTATATATTCATTATAATGTTATATATATATATAATATTATATATTCATTATAATATTATATATATATATATATATATATATATATATATATATATATATATATATATATATATATAATATATTCATTATAATGTTATATATTAATATTTTCGCTTGGTTGTTTTTATCATCATATTTTGAGATGAGTGTAATGTTGTTTTTATCATTACATTTTTAAGTTATGTCTTCATTATTTTATGAATTCATTATTACATTCTTAGATGGATATTCTCATATTTGCTTTTTCATTGTTACCTTTTTTGTATTAATAATTATATAATTGGTGTTTTTTTGTTATATTTGTAATTTAATATTCTTATTGTTGATTGTTTTATAATAACATTTTTATATGAATATTCTCATGATTTTTTCATCCTTATAGTTTTTAGATTAACAATCTCATCACTGATGCTTTTACCATTACAGGATCATACTGATAATATCATAGTTGATAGTTTTATCATTATTTATTTTTTATTAATATTTGCTTCTTTTTTGGTTTTATCATTATTTTCTTACAATAATGTTGATAATTTGTCCTTACTTTTTCTGTTTCATATTTTCCTTTTTTTTTTGTTTTTTTTTATCAATATATAATTCACATTAATTTTCAAATCATTTTTTCTCCTTATATTTTTAAATTAACATTCTCTGCCTTGGTGGTTTATTCTTCACTCTTTAATTAATATTTGTTATTTTGATATATGTATTATTATATAATTGTGATTAAGTTTAACATTTTTGGTTGTTTTATCATTGTATTTTTTACATTAATATTCTCATAATGTTCTTTTATCATTTCATTTTTATGTTATTATTATTACACTTTGTGTTTTTGTCTTATTTTTCTAATTAATAATCTTATACTTGGTTGATTTATCGTAACATTTTTGCAAATGTGTTTTCAACTTTTATTCATTTTATAATTAGCAAAGAGAAATCTTGATGCTACTTGCAGTGGGCACTAACACTATTTTATGAACATCTTTCTAAATAAAAAGAATAGTTGATTAATTAATGTATCAGGCAAATTGCATGAGTAGCAATATTGTGAATTTATATCTGAACCACTTTTGGAATATAACATTTTATCTCATAATTTATTTTATCTTAAAATTTATTATTTAAAATTTATTTACTTAAAATTTATTTATTTAAAATTTATTTTAAAATTTATTTATTTAAAATTTATTTTATCTTAAAGTTTATTATTTAAAATTTATTTAATTAAAATTTATTATTTAAAATTTAATTACTTGAAATTTATTTATTTAAAATTTATTTACTTAAAATTTATTTATTTAAAATTTATTTACTTAAAATTTATTTATTTAAAATTTATTTACTTAAAATTTATTTATTTAAAATTTATTTACTTAAAATTTATTTATTTAAAATTTATTTTAAAATTTATTTATTTATTTATTTAAAATTTATTTTCTCTTAAAGTTTATTATTTAAAATTTATTTAATTAAAATTTATTTAAAATTTATTTACTCAAAATTTATTATTTAAAATTATTTACTTTAAATTTATTTATTTGTTTAAAATTTTTTATTTAAAATTTATCCTAAAATTTATTCATATGATGAATTTTAATATCTTACACTTGAGTTTGGCAGGTTGGTTGGTTGGTTTGTTTAGTAGCTTATCAACCTCTATGGGTTATTTAATGTCCAAATCTAAATATTTTGAATGCAATCTTATTTTTTGGGATATAATAATGATTTTAGTGATACACGTCTTACTAATTAACCCATAGCAGGAGGGAGAGGTGGCTTCATATCTTTCTCAAGGGTATCTGCACTTAAGTGAATATAACAAACTGAACTAGAATTAGAACTTGGCTCTCCAATTAACAATTCCAAGCCATTATTCATTACACTAGCTGCACATACAAGCTTACAGCACTTGGTACACCCAAAAGGTCACCCATCTAGGTACTGACCAGGCTCAACATTGCTTAACTTTGGTGATCGTATGGGAACTGGTGTTTCAACATGATATACTTTGGCAGGAAAGATATATATGAGAGAGAGACAAACAGACAGAGAGAGAGAGAGAGAGAGAGAGAGAAAGAGAGAGAAAGAGAGAGAAAGAAAGAGAGAGAACTATGCAGTTATCATTAATCCTTTTTTATGTCCCTAATGACACTTAATCTATAGTAATATAGAAAAATAAATTGAAATTTTTATTGAATATCTTATGTAGTTCTGAAATTTTTGGGAAGTGTTTAGAAAGCAACTTGAAAAATAATTTACCTATATTATATTTCACTTCTAAGTTGAAAGGTGGGGGTTAAACCAAATAATATTTTTTCTTTTCCTTGAAATAGCTTTCGTATGGTGTTTAATATGTTGAGGTTTAAATTCTATCATTGCTTTGGACCCTTTGCCTTTTAAGTTTATCTCATATTCTTTCTTTTTTTTTTCTCTAAAATTGTCATACAAGAAGAGTTTTTGGATAGCCTACACTGTATTTCATTAGGGATATGTTTAATTATATTTGGTGGGGTGGTTGGATTTAATATTTACATATCTTCACTTTGCGTTAGGTTTTAAGGAACAAACTTGCCAATCACATGTGGAATGTAAAAGAAAAATAATAAGGTTGAAAATTTTTAAAAAAGTTAAAAATATATAACAATTATATCTGCATTTACAAACTATGCCAATATAAGAAATTAGCTATTATGACATTCCTGAATCCCAAAAATGTTTAAACCAAAAATCCAAAATTTTAAGCCCTTGATCTCACATAAAAAAAATTTTATTAAGTGAATATAAAATTGGTTAAAAAAATTTAATCTAAAGCCCTAACTGTTACTCTTTAGACATGCTAGCCTCCCCACCCTTCATAACAATTAAGTTACATATTTGCTTTCCCTCTTTACTGTAATACACTTGCATTCCCTGTTCCCTTTCATTCTTTTCTTTTCTTCACCCTTCTTTTCCCTTTCCTTTCCATTACACTCAATGTCCTGTCTTTCAATCATCATAAGCCTGTTATTATTTTTTGAAAGATAATTATGTAGCTTCTTTGTGATCTTTTGAAATAAAGTCTTTAAGTTGTATATTTAAAAGTATCGGCTGAAGAGATTGGCAGGTTGAAACCATTGGTCATGTATTTTAATTGACCTCCTGATTTTTAAAGTTAAAAGCTCTACATGTTATTTTTATATTTACTTATATTTTTTTCCCTTGTGTATTGAGCAATTTTTAATACTACTGTTTCCTGGTCTGATTCAGCCTTTATATATATATACTTTACAATTGGAATTAAGATACCTTTAAATGACCATTTTCATCTATGAATTTTAATTTTAAAATTTGTGGGAATTTTTAAAGCTATTTATGGTATCAGTTTGTAGTGTACTGTTTATTTGGAGAAAGAAAGGTATCTTAATTCTAATTGTAAAGAAAATTTGCTCTGTTTAATGAAAATAAACTTTGAGTGCTCCTTTGTGAGTCAGTTTTATTTCAAATTCTATATTGTTTTAATAGGACTTGCCTGGATCATACCAACAGATTACTACCTATATATATATATATATATATATATATATATATATATATATAGAGAGAGAGAGAGAGAGAGAGAGAGAGAGAGAGAGAGAGAGAGAGAGAGTACTCCTTTAAGACTTTTGTATGACTTAATAAATAACTATAGAAGGTTTCAATAGTTATACTAGACAGAGCCTCATGATTAGAAAACTAGTAGAATGAGCAAAACAAATGTAAACAGACCTGTACCTATGATCATAGATTATACAAATTCATTTGATGTTACAATATGAAAACCTATTTGAAATTCTAGGTAAGCTCAATTTATATGGGAAAGGTAAGTTCAATATATATGTATAAGATCAGTATATATAGATAAGTTCAATATATAAGTGTAATTGGCAAGCTCACTATATATGTGTAAGCTCAATATATATAGGTAAGCTCAATATATATATGTAATTGGCAATATTTACTGGGATCAAAATGCCTGCATGTGGACAGAAAATGACTTAAGCAAGCATACAGAATAAGGGGTAAAGCCAAGGATGCATTTTCTCACCAGATTTTTTTAGTCTACAAAGCAAAATGATTTTAAGAGAACTAGAAGACCTTGCAGGATTTATTATCAGCAGCCATAATCTTAACAACTTAAGATACACAAATGATGCTGTGTTGATAGTCAAACTTAGAGGAAGAACAACAAAAACTCCTAGTGAAGTTAGGAAAGAAAAGTGAGAAGAGAGGACAAAACATTAACTATAAAAAGAGGGGAGGTATGATTGTCAGCAAGAGAAGCAGTCAAAAGTGTAATTTTTGAAGTGGTGATATTAGAATCAAACAAATACAGAAATTTAACTGTCTAGATCAGTTGTCAAACTTTTTTGATCAGAGACACCCCTTTTGTTTCTCTTTCTTTCTCAGCGACCTCCATTTAAAATATCTTTGAACCTTAAAACTCACACTGATGTTAGCAATTAAAATGCTAACTAAAATGTATGAATTTTCCCCCAAAATATATTTAAGAAAATAAATTAAATAACCACAATGAATCAAAGAAATAATATATTAAGTACACCAAGCCTAAATACAGACTATTCTATTGAGCAGAAATATATAACCACTACTAACATCCAACTGCACAACTGTACTAAATAATTAAATTAAATAAACAAATACTGCATCATACTTGATACAATCAAACCAATCAGGGCAAATGATCTTCATAATCATAAACTCTATTTTGCAGTTAGAGGTTGTTGAGGGATTTTTATCTGGAAATCTACTTGGATCAATTAAAAACGAGCAAGTAATGCTCAATGTAACATTAAATAAGTCTCATCAAAATAAGTTAAAAGCTACTTGGATAGATCTCAGGCTTTTGATTCTGTTGATTGTCAAGCTCAGTGCTTTTCTTTCATCTGCACCAAAGAATGCAATATACATGTACACTAACTAAAATTTAGATCAGTGCTCTTTATACACAGATCTCCATTCAACCCCTTCACTATCATCAACCCCTTGGAACTCCTCACCGACTCCTAGGGGGTCGCTGGGGCCCTGTTTGACAACCCCTGATCTAGATATTGTAATGACTGACAACAGAAAATTTGACAGAGAATGAACACCAGAATGCCAAGAGAGGCCTTCTTGAAGCTAAATAAAGTATCAAAACATGAAAACAAAGAAAAGAGTACTGAACTGAAACATCATATCTATTCTCCTATATGATAGGGAATTTTGGACAATTTTCTTCCAGATAAAGGCGATAATTCAAGTGACAGATATGTGGTTCTACAGCCAAATTCTGAGAAAAATCATAAACTAAACCTGTGAGCAATGAGGAAGTTCTAAAGAAAATGGGAACTGGAAAGACACTTGTACTTGAAATCAGAAAGAAGCAGTTGAAATTTCTGGAACTCATTATGAGAAAGGACAGTTTGAAAAATTTAATACTCACAAGATGTGACAAGGAATCAAGAGGTAGAAGGAAACAGTGAGTAACTTATCTAAGGGGCTTATGTGAATGGATAGCAGAGTAGGGACAAGGAAGGATGTTTACATCCTACACAACATGCAAATGATGAATATATAAGCTGCATATTCATTAATAATTCTTGATATTCTGAAATAGTCTGCAATTTGAAATTTGGTGAGATTCAGCAACATTTCTGAACCATAAAACCTAATTAAAACCAAATCTAATTAGATAGCACAATTGTGAAAGACAGAACAAGGTAATTAGGAACAATTTGTTGAAAGTTTTGTGAAGCATTGTCAGTCAATTGGCTTATCTAATTCTTTAGTCAGTTATTCAATAATAAATTTCAATTGCTGTGAATCTCAAAAACCTTTTCCATATTTTGGATAATTTCAATAAAATTGAAGTCAGTTTAAATCCTTTTATATAATCTTGGCTCAAATAAGTTCAAATAAAGTAAATCATTTTGAATTGGCATTTTTGAAATTTTCATCAGTTATGAAAGTAATCAGACTTTATCAGATTTAATGCATAGTATTTCAGTTTATTTGAAAAGAAAGTGAATAAAAATGATGTGAATTGTTTATATTATAGACCAGGTGTTAAAAATTATTAAATCAAGAAGTAGAGATTAAATTTTTAATTATGTCTTCCCAAACAGTTTGAATTTGCATCTTATTATAATAAATTGACTTACTGCTATTCTGTGATACTCATTATTTTATGGTTGAATCATATTAAAGAACTTGATTGTAAATGTTTCAGCAGAGTTTTCTTCTGGTATAAACCAAAAACAAAGTAGACTGATGCTTAAAAGTATTTATTTTCTTTTTTGTTATTTCCTGAAAAAACACTGTAAAAAACTAACGTGTAACAAATATTACATTTTTAAACAAAGTTTGATTAACACTATTTACATTCTTTAAACTGTTGTCCTCATCTTTATTGCCACATTCATGTTTCGTCCACTGCATGTGATGTCCTTCTTCAGGTGATATTGTTGGAATTTTGAACCAAACCTTTTATTTAGTCCACAATGGTAGATTGTTCTAATTCCACAAGGACACATGGTTCAGTAGATAAAAGTGTTGGTTGATTGATCCAAAAAATGACTTGACCCAAAGAGTTGTGAGTTCAATCTCTGGCTGCTACTGAGATAACAAAAATAGAGAGTTATCAAGGTGAATTAACTAAAACTGGGTTACCGAAAAGCATGGTACATGGAATTAGAACAATTTAACTCTTGTTATTTACATTCTGCAAGGCCCTTGTTAAAAATAGACTTATTCCTTTAATCAAATTGGCCACACTACTGGGAGTTAATCAAATTGACCACACTACTGGGAGTCAGGGCTAGCACATATTACCCCTGAGACCCCATCATGGAAGGGAGCCTGATTGGGAGCCCCAGTGTAGTGCTTTTTGACCTTTGTTATCTTAACATTTGTTTTTTTTACCTACATTTATATACGTTACAAATTAAACAAAGCACAACTGACTATTAATGGATGAAAA